ATTTTCTCCCAATCAGATCCAAAGTGTAAACTGTCAATATTAAGATCTGGTATGGCTACACATTGGGCAACTGAAACAAAAGAAAAAGTCAACCATGCAAAACTATGTCGGCTCCTTTATGATGGAGGAGGAACTACTGTGAGAGCTGTAGTTGATCGTCATTGTCCACCAGCAACTTTGGCAGCGACTCTGAAATCTAAAAAATCACAACTACAGAAACTCATGAAACCAAAAGGAAAAGTTTTGAATATTGATCAGTGGGACAAACTCTACCCTCCCAGTGGTACCAGCCCCAGCACAAAAGATTTTGACATCACTTTGTTATTTGTTCTTATAAGGAACATTTGTGGACTCACCAAACCAGCTACTGGATGGGATGCTTTGCCACCACCAGCTGATACATCAACTGAAGCTAACCTTGCAAGGATTAAGTATTACAGAAACACTGTTATTGGTCACAGTGGAAATGCTGAAGTAGATGATATACAGTATGAGGCATACTGGAAGGACATTTCAATTGCTCTTGTTTCACTAGGACTCGACCAAGATGACATTGATGACTTAAAGTCACGTCCTGTGGGCGCTCAAGACTACTTCAAGCTGCTGAAAGAATGGCACTCAGAAGAAACTGACATCAAGTCAATGTTCGCGTCAGGAATTACGGAGTTGAAAGAGGAAATTCGGCAAAGTAAAATCTCAACTGAAATTGATAGACTTTTTCACCAAGAATTCAGAAGCCATATTTCTTCGAAATGCAGTCTGTATCATCCAAACACAAGAGCTTGGATACTGGAAAAAGTGAAAGCCCACGTTGAATCTGATTCCAACGAAGTCTTGGTGATACAAGCTGGTCCTGGCATGGGAAAATCAGTACTTGCTGCCAGAATAATCGAAATTTATCGAGAGCAAAGCGTCCTTGGTGCTTGTCATTTCTTTCAACACGGCAATTCCTTTCAAAATAACCCAATGTTAATGCTGCAGTCCGTTTCACAACAGCTCTGTCGCTCTCTTCCAGATTACAAAGTTGCTGTAGAGAAGGTTCTTCAATCAGACCACATGAGAAACCGCGATATCTCAGTTCTAAACTGTACAGAACTTTTTACTTTGCTATTTGAAGAGCCCTTTTCGCACCTTGATCATGACCCAACAGAAAAACTTGTTGTCGTCATAGATGCCCTCGATGAGTCTTGCAACAGTTTGAAAAAGGAATTCTTCCAAGTCATTCGTAACAGGCTATATTATTTACCATCATGGCTACGATTTGTCATGACAACAAGACCACCTCCAAGTATTTCTTCTCGAGTACCAGGTAGCACAACTGAAATTGATCCAAACGATTCCCAGAATACTGAAGATCTTCAAAGCTTTTTCTCTGACAAACTGAAAGAGCTGCCCCACCTTTCTTCTGATCAGCAACAGCACAGTCACATGGAACAACTTGTTGATTTGACTGGTGGATTGTTTCTGGTGGCCTCCTTTGTTATCGATTTCTTAAAGAAGCCAGGGATTAACTCATTAGCAGAAACACTTGAGCACTTCCCAAAAGGCAAAGGTATCACAGCTGTCTACGAAGACTACTTCTCTAGACTACATGACGAAATAACTCCACACTTAAAAAGTGAAGAAGGATTCTACAACATGCTTGATGCTGTAGTTAAAGCTAAATCTCCAATCGAGAAGAACATTTTCTATGATATCCTTGGTTTGCCGCTGAAAGAGTCAAGGATACCAGACACCAAGAAAAAAGAGGCCATCAACCTTCTTCACCAATTGTTCCCTGTAGAGAACGATCACGTGTCACCATTCCACAAGACCGTTGTTGATTGGTTGACAACTGGAGACCATGACTTTGCGGCTCAAGGGGATGGAATTGGTGTGCTTGCCAGTGCTTGTTACAACGCCCTATTGAATATCAAGCAAGAAATATTAAAGAAACAACATCAACCAACCCATATAACAGACAAAGAAATCTATGCTTTTGAGTTTGGATTCAATTATATGGAAGAAAGTTTTGATGAAGAGAAAGTACATGCACTCGTAGCCAATCCGTATGTGCTATGTAGCATGGCAATTTATGTTGCTGAACTATTGAAAACACATCAGTTAACTTCCGATCACTCAACAAAACAACGACTCTCAGCTGACCTTCAGAATATTTTTGATGGAATAAAAATCTTTCTTGGATTTCAAGGTCGTGATTCGACTGAATGCATTGTACCGGAGTTAACATTTTTGCAACACTTACAGTTCATATTTCGTACATATAACCTCCTGCAAATTGAAACCGAAGAAAGAGCAATTCATTACCTGAAAGAGAAACATCTCCCGTACCATGAAAGGGAAACGGCTCTAAATCTTGCAGATCCAGCCGAAGATGCACAAATCTTTTTATGCAATGGTGGGTTCTTAATCGCAGCGAAATGCAATCAAAAGACTACAGTAAAGAAATATCAACTCGATGGAATGCTCGATGGTGAGCAATTCAGCTTAAGCCCAAATGCTATTCTACGCATGTCTCCTGATAATCATCATCTCATTGTGGCTAATGACTTTGAGTACAATTCTGGAGATGACATTGCGATTGTAGATGCTGCCACCATGAAGAAGGTCACCAGCTATCGATTACCAAATTTGCCCAAGTCTTTACATGTGTTTGGCAGTCAGCCCTGGTACATCGTGGCAAGATGCTTCGACAATAAAATCTACATCGTTGAAGGAAAAACGGGTACATTGCTTGGAGATAGTTCTGCAATACAGCAGAACGAAAATGTCCTTTGTGTGAGCAATATGGGGCACATTCTTTTAGTACGAAAATGTACTGGCCATCGTATTTCTGACAACATTGTTGATATACTATTCACCGACAAAGACAGACTATTTTGTTTTCCATTGCAATGGGTTGATTCACATTCCGACAACCATGTTTCTTGCGAGTTGTTCCTCTGTTATCAGGAAAAGATTGACAAAAGAATCCCCATCTATTTCAGGCTTTTAAAGTGCCGAAGCACAGATTGCGTCAATTCAACAAATTATTCTCCGCCCTCGGTTTTGTTCTCTGAAGACGGAAACCTGTTGGCTTTTTATAATGCTGATAGCATTACAGTAGTAAACACATCAGATGGCTCTCTGTACGCAAGTGTCTGTCTATACCATAATAGCCTAGCGCGAGTCCACGTCGGAGAGATCTTATACCTATCAGAGGAAAGGATCGTATTCAAGGGCTATATGAGTATCTTCTCCTTAAGCTTCACTGGAGAAAGCCACTCGGAGAGACGTGTTGCTATAGAGCACATTTATTTTTTCCCTAGGGATGTCGAGATTTGTTTTGTGTCAAGAAGCTCAAATAACATCAGAGAACTTTGGGGTCAAAGAATCAAGCGCGAATATTTTCGTGTTCAAAAGCTTGCCAAATATCGTGATTGTGCTGTTGCCATCGAGAAATATAAGTTTTTGGATGGATAATAATATCCGTTTCCACAAGGTTCATTAAAGTTTATAATTTCTGGAAACAGAACAGAAACATTCCAGTCAGAGATCTAGTATGACAGCTGCGTATGACATCATCTTGAGTACAAGATGTGTTTTATTGGGTAGAATAACTTACACGAACAACATGTCAGAATGCTGTAGTTTTAACATATAGTTATTTACAATTAAGGAGGAGAACACCATAGGTGATTTCCTCTAGATTCTTTTATCATTGAAATTCAAGGGGAGGTACTACAGAATGCTGTAGTTATGTAGTTATGGAATCACAAATTTTTATTGGACAAATACAGCTTAAAATCGAAGTTTTCTAAATATTACATTTTGAAAAAGAACAATCTAGAATGCTTTGTAGTTTATAATGTGTAGTGATTCGGTACGATCAGGAGCAGCCGACAGGGTCTGTACTTCTAAATAACTTTTTTTGTACGAATTTTTTTTTGAGCTACATTGTTGATAATATCACAGCAAATGTGGCGCCCATAATTTTGTTCCTGGAAAATGTTTTTCAGGTCAAAAAAGGCTTATATAACGTTTTTATGGTCAAAACGGTTTATAATTTTTTAGTTAGGAAATTTTTACTTTCCTGGAAAAAATTCTTAGAAAGTATTCCTTGCCTGGAGAGTTCTTTTTTCCTGAATTTCTCGCTAGCAACCAGTTGTGACTTACAGCTGGATGGGACATAAGAACAGATATATTTTTCCCAGGAACCCGTTGGCTCCTCCTATACGATGCTTTAGTTTACTCGTAAAAACAAAAAGAAAAAAACTGAACTCATTAAAATGTTGTTGTGTCTATCATAGTATCATTGAATCCTCTGGATAAACCCTGGTTTACACTAGCGGATTTTCTCAAGTACCGGTTGTTGTCCAAAAATCGCCGTCTTTCATCTAGTCCATGCAAATCGTCTTTGACATTTGTCAGTTGTTATATTATTTTGTGGCGATGGACCTTTTTTGCATCATTTTTTTGGTTTACATGGATTTACTCAATTGTTCTAAATTCCGTTCCAAAAGCACAACTGAATGAGGGGGACGATATACATGTACATTATCGGCAGATGAAAACGACAGCTATTGATGAAAACAACGTTTATTGCTTTGTTGATGATGCAGAAATCTTATATTCAATAGACAAAACAATTTCCCGCGCTAGCGCTCCGCGGGCATGCGCATTCAGCTTTCTTTGCCCGCATGCTGCGCAGCAAAGTATCCACCTGTCGTTGTTTTAGGTTATTATGGTCCTATGCAAATGTGACAGACCAGACGACGGAAACGCCAGAATACGACTTCGTCAAGAAAGATGATGGATATATAAAAAGGTACCAATAATTGTACATTATCTTTTCGATATTTCATGGACTATGTTTTATGTATAATAGTTACAATATAAGTTACTCAAGGGAGAAAATATATTTCTTATATCCCAAGAAATACGCTTCAAGCTGTTCAAACCCATAAAGCCCGCGTCAGATCTCTCGATATTGAGAGCTTCATTGACATGGAAGTATCAAAAGCCTTTTTTTAAACAATTTTACGCATTTGCAGGAGCGATGATATAATATCCAAAAAACAATGAGTACTTTGTAGCCTCGGAAAATAAGTTTTCCCTAATGTAATCAGCTATCATTAAAATTGCGTGGAGCCTAACTCAGTCGCCCGCTCCCTCTCAAAAGCATTCGACATTTTCCCTTTTTTTGGTATAATAACCAGTAACTTAGATGATCAAACGTCTCGAACGTTGTACTTGTTTTTAGAATATGTTGTTAAGAATTTACGTAAAAATGAAAGCTCCGTTTTCCTCGATTTTTATGAATTTTTAAGAATGTCTTTGACCCTGTCTGTGCTTCGACAGTCTGAGTCAAACAGTTTGGATTTCAAAACGAAAAAGATATGACGGCGTCTCAAAATGTTGAGAAATCTGAACTCAAATGAAGTGCATGTGAAAAATGATATACATGTATTTTCGATGTATTACTTTTTAATAATTCAAATCAGCTTTGTGTCTAAACTGACTATAAACTGAAATGTAAAGATATACAGGATATTATGGGCTCGCCCGAAAGAGTGAGATTTCCAACCACAAGAAGATAAAATTCGTATCTCTAAGCGACCTAAGCGACCATGTAATATTTTCTATATCTGCATGTAATTCGATTTTTCATGATTGACATGTCAAGGGTTTCTCGCCTTTTTTATCTATGTCGGTTTTTCTTTCTTGTTAAGCTTTGCTATCAGCTTTTTTGTTTGTGCTTTTTTTCAGTATTATTATCAAAACCTTCAGAAAACCACACGGTATATCTCGCCGATATATTACACCGGGGATCTAATATCGATAGGCATCAATTATGGAATTTATGGTATCTACTTGTAATGAGCATCTTTCAAGAGGGAGAGAAGGCTCAACATTAATTAAACTGGTGGATAAAATTTGACTGAGACTGGTCAACTATTTCTGATGACGCTCCAAGCGAATTTTTATTTATCAAATCAAAACCAAATGATATTCAAGACGTCCTGGGAAAACTAATTATTTTGCACAGTTGATTCTGCAACATATTACATGTGCGGTTGAGGGTCAAGTTGACCCTAAAAGCATACCATACATCTTTTGTACATTATTGCAACCTTCGTTTTCGATATTTATCAAAATTTTTGAAGCATAACTTTAAAAATAAAACTTTAGATAAAAAAACTTATTTTTCTCCCAATCAGATCCAAAGTGTAAACTGTCAATATTGATATCTGGTATGGCTACACATTGTGCAACTGAAAAAAAAGAAAAAGTCAACCATGCCAAACTATGTCTGCTCCTTTATGATGGAGGAGGAACTGCTCTGAGATCTGTAGTTGATCGTTGTTGTCCACCAGCAACTTTGGCAGCGACTCTGAAATCTAAAAAAACACAACTACAGAAACTCATGAAACCAAAAGGAAAGGTTTTTAATATTGACCAGTGGAACAAACTCTACCCTCCCAGTGGTACCAGCCCCAGCACAAAAGATTTTGACATCACTTTGTTATTTGTTCTTATAAGGAACATTTGTGGACTTACCAAACCAGCTACTGGATGGGATGCTTTACCACCAGAAGCTGATACATCAACTGAAGCTAACCTCGTAAGGATTAAGTATTACAGAAACACTGTTATAGGTCACAGTGAAAATGCTGAAGTAGATGATATACAGTATGAGGCATACTGGAAGGACATTTCAAGTGCTCTTGTTTCACTAGGACTCGACCAAGATGATATCGATGACTTAAAGGCACGTCCTTTTGACGCTGCAGACTACTTCAAGCTGCTAAAAGAATGGCAATTGGCAGAAACTGATATCAAAGATCAATTATGTGACATCAAGTCTTCTATAGCATCAGGATTTACAAACATGGGAGAACAAATTAGCCAAATTCAAAAGTCAACAACTCCTAGTGAAACTGATAAGCTTTTTCACCAAGAATTCAGAAGCCATATTTCTTCGAAATGCAGTCTGTACCATCCAAACACAAGAGCTTGGATATTGGAAAAAGTGAAAACTCACGTTGAATCTGATTTCAAGGACGTCTTGGTGATACAAGCTGGTCCTGGCATGGGCAAATCTGTACTTGCTGCCAGAATATGCCAAATGTATCAAGACAGTCAAGAAAACCAAACTATCCTTGGTGCCTGTCATTTCTTTCAACACAACGATCTCTCTCGAAATAACCCAAGGTTAATGTTGCAGTCTGTTGCATGGCAGCTCTGTCGCTATCTTCCAGAATACAAAGTTGCTGTAGAGAAGGTTCTGCAATCAAACCACATGAGAAACCGCGATATCTCAGTTCTAAGCTGTACAGAACTTTTTACTTTGTTATTTGAAGAGCCCTTTTCGCACCTTGGTCACGAGCCAACAGGCAAACTTGTTGTTGTCATAGATGCCCTTGATGAGTGTTGCAACAGTTTGAAAACTGAATTCTTCCAAGTCATTGGTTATAGACTACATTATTTACCATCATGGCTGCGATTTGTCATGACAACAAGACCGCCTCCAAATATTTCTTCCCAAGTTCCAGGGAGCACAACTAAAATTGATCCAAACGATTCACAGAATACTGAAGATCTTCAAAGCTTTTTCGCTGACCAACTGAAAGAGCTGCCCCACCTTTGTTCTGATCAGCAACAGAACAGTCACATGGAACAGCTTGTTGATTTGACTGGTGGGTTGTTTCTGGTGGCCTCCTTTGTTATTGATTTCTTAAAGAAGCCACGCATCAACTCATTAGCAGAAGCACTGGAACACTTCCCAAAAGGCAAAGGGATCACAGCTGTCTACGAAGACTACTTCTCGAGACTACGTGACGATATAACTCCATACCTAAAAAGTGAAGAAGGATTCTACAACATGCTTGATGCTGTAGTTAAAGCTAGATCTCCAATTGAAAAAAAAATGTTCTATGATATCCTTGGTTTGCCTCTGAAAGAGTCAAGGATACCAGACACCAAGAAGAAAGAGGCCGTCAACCTTCTTCATCAATTGTTCCCTGTAGAGAACGACCACGTGTCACCATTCCACAAGACCGTTGTTGATTGGTTGACCACTGGAGACCATGACTTTGCGGCAAAAGGGGATGGAATTGGTGTACTTGCCAGTGCTTGTTACAACGTCCTAATGAATGCCAAGCAAGAAATATTTGAGAAACCGCAAAATCAATTGCCCCAGTTGACAGACAAGGAAATTTATGCTTGTKAGTTTGGATTTGATTATATGGAAGAAAGTCAAAGTTTCAATAAAGAGAATGAAATCGCAGCCGATCCCTATGTGCTCTTGATTGGTGCAAGTTATGCTGCTCATTCCTTTAAAAGTCATAACGATAACGGATTTAGACAACGACTTTCACCTGACCTTCAAGATATTTATGATCAAATGACCAAATTTCTTGGTAGCCATTCGCGTCCCGGATGGAATGAATGCATAGTGCAAGAGTTAACAATACAGCAGTGTTTGGAGTTCGCATTTCGTGCAATAAACGTCTTGAAAATTGAAACCGAAGAAAGCACCTTTAATTATCTGAAAGATAATTGCCATGAAAGAAAACATCTTCTAACATTGGAAACTACGATTGACACAGTGGTCCTACCATCCAACGATGGGTTCTTGATTAGCGCGTATAATCTTTTTAAGAGACAAACGTTAGTGAAGAAATATCACCACGATGGAACATTAGTCAATGAAGTGAAGTTCAGCGAGCATCGCGAGTTAACTATGTTTCCTGATTATAAATTTGTCGTGGTTTGTGACAGTAAGCACTTTACTGATAAAATTGATGTTTTAGACGTTGCTACTTTTACATTCACGACTTATAAATTACCCAGTTACCAAAAGTCTTTGCACGTCTTTGGAAGTCAACCGTGGTACATCGTGGTAAGATGCTTCGACAATAAAATCTACGTAGTGGAATTAGGAGAAACAGGTGTATCCGTTGGAGATCCTTGTTCAATACTGCAGACAGAAGATGTCCTTTGTGTTAGCAATGTAGGCCACATTCTTATAACGCGAACGAGTAATCTTCTTTCTTGTAACAATCTAGACCAAGTATTCACAGATGAGAAGGGCATGATCTGTTTTGAAATGGCCATGGAAAGGGATCTAACTTCTCTGACCAGAGACAATGCTCGTGCTCGTCGTTGTGAGTATTTCCTGTGTAATTTCAAGGAGCTTGACAAGCGCATCCCCATCTATTTTAGATATTTACATTGCCGGGAGAGAGATGACATCAACATACGATCGAGTCTGTTACGAGAGCGTGGTTCGTCGGTTTTGTTCTCTGAAGATGGAGATATTTTGGCGTTTCATTATGCTGATTGTATTACGGTAGTAAACACTTCTGATGGCTCTCTGTACGCAAGTGTCTGTCTGTATCACCAAGGCCCAGTTAGCTGGATCGATAATATCTTATTTCTCTCAAAGACAAGAATCGTAATACAGGGCAGCGAGAGCATCTTTTCTTACAGTCTCTTTAGAGAAAGCCGTCCGCGTGATGTAGAGATTGAGCACATTTATTATTTTTCTGGAGTCAGATCCTGTTTTGTCACGAGGAGCCACACTAACATAAGAGAAATTTTATGCACTAGTTATTTGAGAGATTTTGGTTCCGGCTCCGTGGTTCACAAATATTTGTTTTGATAAATAGTTCCCCTATACAATCCATAAAACTTATGCAGCGTTATATCTTTGTAACAAAATATGTTTTACTTAAGTTGTTATAGTGTAATTTAGATAAAAACCTATAAAACACCGATAGCTTTCAACGCCATTTTGGTAACCGGACTTCCAAATGGCCGTATGTTTATAGGAAAAGTGAGTAACTTTAGGTAACTTATTATATAGTCCATCTCACTGTTATACCTGCAGAGGCCTGAGCACTTTGTAATTCCCTGATTTCTTCATGGCTGCACGTGCCTGAGAGTCATGGCTAGAGTTGGTGCTATACACACAAAGGGTAATAGTATCGCAAAGCCTAATAGTATAACCTTTCTGTTTTTCTTTTTCTAGCCGCCAGCCTTCTTTAATTCAATGACATGTGTTTGATTTATACTGTCTGACAGACCAATAAGCAGTAGCGATCCTTTTATAAGATATCAATAATAGGTTTTTTAAAAATATTTATACATTTATTGCTACGAAATATATAATAATTACATCTTGAAAGAGTGCTTACGATACGAGCATTATTCTGTACAGGCTTACCAATGCATTAAAGATAGCTTAACATCCAAATGTGTTATAGTTTCTGACAAAGCCATACAACTTTCATGGTATCCATTCAGTGAGATACTATGGGATGCCCGTCGGAAAACTATTGAATGGAAGATGTCGGCCATGTTTGAAATATGATTATATTGCAATAAAAGAAATGGAATTTTTAAATCCATTTATAATGTTATAAAAATACGTGTGTTATAAGGAAATGTCTTTTTACAAGCAGGCGATTGAAGATTGAAGCAATTAAAAAACAACGTGTTATAAACAACGTGTTATACATCCAATCTCCGTAAAATATTTTACTGAGGTATTGATGATAACGCCCAGGCCACCGTACCCAAGATGTATAACACTCCACCATGAAGAGCTTGGGACGAGCTCATTACGTCACATCGCGATATCGGGGGTACGTAAGGCTTCTTTATGGTAACTTTGTTAGCAAGATTATCGGGGTTTAACCAGTCCTGTGAAAAAAATATTGAATATCGTAATGTATGCATTTAATTAGAAAAACATCGAGATTGAGGTGGAAAATGAGTAAACTTCAACGTAAAAGTTAAGTTTGACTGCGTTTCCACGAATCGAAATATTCTCGTAAAGCAAACGCCGACTCTCAATGCCGGGGAGGATCAGGGAATTCACGGGACAACAGGGGAAGTTTTAACAGCAAAATCAACGGGAAGATGACTGAGGATTAACGTCTAATTCAAAGGAAATGATATGTTTAGCTACCTTTTTATGCCTCTATATACGGGCCGGGAAACGCCGTGCATTTAAATTTTAATTCTCCCGGTAATGCAGAGCGCGGTTGCGGCGCCGAGTAGTTTCAATTTACTGATGCATCCCTGTATATTCTTATATGCGTTCCCACTAAAATGATCTACGTTTTCAAAATGTGTTTTTGAAAATATCGAGCTTGACAGAAATATTCGGATATGGTCATGGATTTTGGAGGGAGTTTTTTTTTGTAATCAAAAGGCCTACGCATGAAAAAGGGAAGCGCAGAATCAGAATGTGTGAACATTCATGCAATGTCATAGTAGTGACTGACGAGCGAAATTGTAATCACTCGTGACTCACGAGTATGAGTCATACTTCTCTCTTATCACTATAACGACCTCTACTTTTCTCAGTGCTATTGCATTCTATCTACTATCACAACTGCACAGAGATATATGAATAAACCATGATAAAAACTGATACTGTCTATTTTGAAGCCTTACATTGATATTACTGATATTCCCTTTTGTGCAGTCTGTGATGACTTTGTTTTCATCATAAAATCTTTTCAAATCCGAAGTCATTTCGTCAGTCCAGTTTGGTTTAATAGCGGTCATTGGGTTGTACCATCGGTGTGCATAGGGCTTCAATTTCCTAGAACACAAAACACAAGTCAATATCGTAGTCTCGGCTTCTCAGGCAGCCTACCCTTTTGACGTGACAAGTAGCGTTTAGAGAACATGGGAGAACATTTTGTGCGCGCTGTCCCTGTTTTCTTGTTCACTTATAGGTGGCTAGTTCTGTTCTCGTCGGAAATAACTATACTTACGGAAAGTGCTTTTCGACGAACTTGTAAGGTCCTATTAGCGATGTGCTTGTGCAATACTTGAAGTTTGGCAAACGAGGATAATACCACATGATATTTAAGCACATTTCTTCTGCTGTTGCCAATCCTCCCTATTGGAGATAGATAGCGACTCTTCAACAAACATACATGGTTTTCTCGATACACAACGAATATGATAATTAACTTGGCAATGGAATGATTCGCTTACATATGTGGGTTTGTCGCGATTCATAGTATTGTAATTGCATTGATGGATCATTTCATCTCCCTGCACATCACAAGAAAGTCTGGTAAGTATATAGTTGTTAATATCTGAAAGTAGATGAACATATCAGTCTTACCGGTCGGAAATGGACCTCGTTTTTCACACGTTGTACCTCCTATGAAAGACTTGTGTCAGTATTAATTGAATCGTATTTTCAATGTCATGTAAAAAAATTGTATTTGAACTTTAGCAGGTGTACTTTGCCTGATCAATTTTGGTTTGTTATTGTTGTTGTTTGTTTTATTTATCTATTTGCTAATCTTCTTCAAGGATGAGAAAAGCTCATCTTGTACATTATACAGATGATGATCCAAATACGGTCCTGTGACCGACCCTGGGACCGGTTATATACGAGGTTAAATCAAGTTATCCACCAGTTAAAGTTTTCCACTCGGGTATTGTATACGGATTTTATACAACGGATAAGGATTTAATCGGTGGACAACAACAACATTTGACTGAACGAGTACTGTTGTACCACAAAAAAAATTCTCGTCTCAAAATAATAGAATCACTATATTACCTGGAAGTTAAAGTCATAATAATTGTCCTTGGCAATATCTGGTAGCTGAACACCGTCCCGGATGTGTTTTGTCCGTAGACCGCGCCCTTCATGAAGAAACAATGGTAAGCATAGTCAAATCACAGAGAAAGAAGCAAATCATCGTTTTCCGCTTTTAAATGTTAAAGGATCAGTTTTATGTCTTCGTCTGCGATGTCGCAACTATCTAGTCGGCAGTGCCTAGTTT